AGAGAATACTGTAAGCTGAATAAATATCTATTCTATTCTCCTTTAAATAGATTAATATTACATATTAATTATTAAATAGATGCTTCAAAGGAAGCCATGCAAAGAAGACAAAAATTTACGCAGAAGCGTTAAGCATTTTCCAAGTAGGAATCTAGTCGTACCTCCAGGTCATGCCATGAGCAGAAAGAGGGACCATTATGCACCCAACCCACAGCATAAGATTTTGGAACATTCTTCCAGAGAACATTTAGAAGATGTGCCTCTAGCAACAGCCCCCAGGTATTTCTTTGCCTTAAAAATTGCACTAACAGAAGGGAAATCCACTCCATTAATCAAAATTCCTAACATAAATAACTGAGGTAAATCTCACTAAACACATTCTTGGACACAAAATCCTTTGGAACATGGAACATCTCTCTGCAAGCTTGTGGCCCAGAATGAATTATAATTTATGTAGACACTGGTAATTATTCACAGAACTCGCCTCTGATATCAGCAGCGACCTGTACCTGAAGTTCAATCACAAAAGATATCCATGTAACAAACAACATTTCCTTAAGTTCCCTTACAACTTTATTTCCTTAGCTCATAAAAGTACCTGGGGAACAAGACTCAAGTCTCTCCAATAGTCATAGGTACAAAAATTCAAAATGCAGATGAGTAACTTAAAGTTTTCCGCCCATTTTCCAAAGGAGCCTAAGTCTTATTGACTTTCAACGAGGCATCAGTGAGCTTTGGATTCAGAATCACAGCCTAATTGCATCTTTAAATGCTTTTTGCACCAGCAAGTCAAATCTTGTGCCATTTCTAAGCATTACCTATAGAGGTAGATACTTCATCATCGTGCATGGGGATATCCTGTACTGCATGACTGAGAGAACAGTAGAACATCATACACAATGGAAACTCCAAATGTTGGGGCAGATGAGATAGCATTACCAGAGCTGAAATTTGGTCAGGGCAGAGTACACAAAACAGCATTATGATCTCTTCACTGAAGAAGAAAAAAAAAAAGTTTTATTTGTTTGTCTTTCATCTTTGAGAGGAAATACAAGGCAGTTACTCATCTACTACAATGACGGGCACTCTAGGCATTCCAGAAACAGGCAAAATTTTCCCACAAGAAAGCATGCAGAAGAGCTGATCTGTTTTCCTAGCACTCCTTAAAACACATGCAAGCTATACAGCAGCTTTTAAATTAAAGCTTGCTGTGCATCCTCAGAGCAGAAGACACCTGATAAGGAGAGACTTTATCTTGCTACTACGTTAAGGCAAAGACTGCAGTTTATCTTTAAAGTCTGATAGCCAGCAATCTGGCACGTAGAGAATGGAAAATAGCAGATGCCATAAGCAACAGCAGGAGCTGCAGGACTTTGAAGGTGACTGGAAACTCAGTAGGAGAGGAGGATAAAGGAGTAAGTAATTTCACACAAGTTCTTTACAATACTGCTACGTATGCTAATTGGAGATTCATAAAAGGACCCATCTGAAGAGTCTCGGAGTCCCCTGAAAGCTGAGAAGGGCTTCAAGCAGTGTAAGGAGGGGAAAAGACAGAAGAAGTGAAAAAACACAGAGGTATTAAAAGTGGTCACATAGGAGATGAAACGATGCCCACAGCAAATATAGAGGATTAAAAAAAATTAAAGCTGCTGAGAAAAGCTGACTAGAAATGGTTAAAAACTTCATTATAGGTCACATCTCCTCTTGAGAGGAAATCTATAAACAAAGAAGCTCAGAAGGGCATTTTCCATATTTTGATGGAATAAAAAGAAAAGTCAAAATAATTCAACCTACTGACTGAAACAAACAAACAAAACAAAAATCAAACAAAAACCCAAAACAATACACTCTGCTGCCCAGGAAATGTTTTATAAAAAACTAATTTCACAGTCCTCATCTTCTTCCTGAAAGGAGGAGTGGGAACATGACCTCCAGCATTCTGCTTAAAGCCAGGAAAGTTGTTCTCCACAGTGAAATTCACCCTGTTAAAAACTAAAAATACCCCTAAGGTCAAGGGAGCAGGCACAGCTTTTTTCTGAAGCTCAGAAATTCTGAAGTCACTCTCATGAGAAAGATACCACTGAAGTTGAGTGATTATCAATTCCATTGCCTATCCCACCCTTTACCTAATCAATTTGGATTCTAAGATCTGAAAGAAGAATTGTCTCCTACTTTTATACGTAAAAATTGTGACACGATGAAACTCTAATCTCCACTGAGGTTTGCAGATATTATATAATACAGATTAACATGCTTCAGTATGAATTTAACCACATGCAGCTATGTTGAAATGATTCCACATTAGTGTGTAAAGTTAGGAGAAATTTTCTTGCAATTTCTTGCAAAATTTTCTTGGAAACCGTATGTAGCCAATGGAATAAGATGAAAATATATACAAAGATTTAAAATTAAGTATTTTTAGTGCTTAGAAAACTGGAACAACAACAGAAGACGGCAGTCCAAACAGCCTCCTTGATTCAGTGAGGATCATCCTAACTGTGGGAAGATAAATTCCAAAGAGGGAAAGGCAATCCATTTTCCATGCTCTTACCTAGTAAGAACTTGCCTCGAAAATATGTCTCTTTATATATGTCACTGAAAACACATCAGATGGGAGTGACACTCTTCACTACTGAACAGAGTGGGATGAAAATTACGAGTACAGCAATAAATCATCAGTTACTATAGTGTATGGATTATTCAATGCCCATTCCCATCCACTACAAGGCAGAAAAAAGGAAAAACATAGATGTGCAGATACTGTTGGATATATACATATATTTGCACATGTACATACCAGACTTCTGGGGCTCTAGTTCGGTAATCTAAATTCCAGTAAACCCTCTGTTCCTGCTGCTCCCTATTGTCTGGCTCTAGCTCTTCGGATACTCCCAGCTAAAACCAAAACAAGAATCTCAGGAAGCTGGTTAGTCACTCCCATAAACGTTAGCAGCCCAGGATATTTTTTTTTTTAAACAAATCCAAAATAAAGCAACACTGCAAAGTTCTGCAAGATCAGATTCTAGCAATAGGGTTCTTAACTGTACATTTCATGAGGAAGACAGAATCAAAGTCAGTAAGGAAAATCCTTTTAGGAGACAAGGAAGGAGGAGACCATGAACAGCAACTCAGGAATTCTGAAGTCAATTCCTCCTACACAGCCCTACTCTACAAAGATAACATGAACTAACTTTGATAACTAATTTTTATTGTTTTTAAATAATTTATGTAGCTAAAGATACTTAACGACCTTAAAGATGTAGACCTAGATCTCTCTACAGTAAGCTTTCTTCACCACAGCTTCCAGTCAGTAAAATGGGATAATAACGCCCCTTTTCTCTCACCGTTAATCTGCTATTCAAATTGTACCTCCCTACCAAAACAATGTCCTATCTCAGCTGGACAGGCTAAGAAACTGGATTACAAATACCCACTCATCACCAAGCACAGTAAACCTACTTCAGTCCAGAGACAGAATCACAGAACGGTTAAGGTTGGAAGGGACCTCTCAAGATCATCTAGTCCAACACCCCTGCTCAAGCACAGTCATCTAGAGCACATTTCCCAGGATCGCATCCAGGTGGGTTTTGAACTCATCTCCAGGGAAGGAGACTCCACTACCTCTCTGGGCAACCTGTTCCAGTGCTCTGTCACCCTCACAGGAAAGAAGTTTTCCCCTCATGTTCAGACGGAACTTCCTGTGTTTCAGTTTCTGCCTGTTGCCTCTTGTCTTATTGCTGGGCACCACAGAGAAGAGACTGGCCTCATTCCCTCGGCACCCTCCCTTCAGATACTTGTATGCATTGATGAGATCCCCCCTCAGGCTTCTCTTCTCCAGGCCCAGCTCTCTCAGCCTTTCCTCATAGGAGAGATGCTCCAGTCCCCTAATCATCTTCATAGCCCTCCATAGCTGGTCTCTCTCCAATAGTGCCATATGTCTCTTGCACTGGGGAGCCCAGCACTGGACACAGCACGCCAGGTGAGGCCTCACCAGGGCTGAGTAGAGCAGCAGGCAGGATCACCTCCCTCGACCTGCTGGCAACACTCTGCCTCGTGCACCCCAGGAGACCATTGGCCTTCTTGGCCACAAGGGCACACTGCTGGCTCATGGTTAACTTGTTGTCCACCAAGACTCCCAGGTCCTTCTCGGCAGAGCTGCTTTCCAGCAGGTCAGCCCCCAGCCTGTACTGGTGCCTGGGGTTAGTCCTGCCCAGATGCAGGGCCCTGCACTTGCCTTTGTTGAACTTCATGAGGTTCCTCTCTGCCCAACTCCCCAGCCTGTCCTGGTCCCTCTGGATGGCAGCACAGCCTTCTGCTGTGTCAGCCACTCCTCCCAGTGTAGTGTCATCAGCAAAATTGCTGAGGGTGCACTCTGCCCCTTCCTCCAGATCACTGATGGATACTTTGAACAAGACTGGACCCAGGACTGACCCCTGGGGGACACTGCTAGCTACAGGCCTCCAACTAGACTCTGTGCCACTGACCACAACCCTCCAAAAGACTTAACAAGCCTGAATTACAAGCGTGTATCACATTAACAAGCCTGTATCACATGTCCTAACCAGGATCCTGCTGCCCGAGAGAGTCACAAAAAGCAAGTGCAGGAGACCCACACAAACACATCCAAAAGAGTCATTTAAAACGTGAACAACTCTGAACTAAAAATAATCAGGCAGTAGTACCACCTACCTGGTAGAGCAAAATGAGTCAGGTTTGGCCACTGCCAAAGCACAGTATTTGATGTGCAAAGACACATCTGATGGCCTTAGAGTGGGCTTTCGGGTGGCTTCCCGGGCCACAGAAGTAGAACTGATCTAATGCTAATCCGGCATTTCACAGCTCTACTTCTAAATCTAAATCCATTCCTCACATATGTCTCAGTGAAATAAGCAGGAATAATTCAGTGTCCTATAGAGCAGTTCAAACCAGGCTAAAAATCTTTGCTAGTCAACTTGAGCAATTTGAAGTTTCACCGCAGATTTGCCCTTGAAGCACCCCAGTAAGGATGGCAACACTTACGTAATTTGCAATGTCTGCATCAAAAGAGAAGGGAAAACAAGGCAAATGGAACTAAAGAAATTCTCACCGATTCGGCAATAACACTTGTCTTACGCAGACTAGGAAGAGACCTGGAATTCCACCTCTGTGTTAATAAAATTTAAAATGAAAAACAATTTATACAAGAGGATATTCTTCACTGTCTGTTGGGATTCATTTTAGGTGTAGAAATTTCTGTCTTGCAGACAGCAGCTGACAGAGAAAGCCACAACAGTAAGACCCCCATGCGGCACCATGCGTAATAGACACAGAGCATTATTTTCGCATAAAATGTGAATATTAACTGTGGAACAGACTTCACAGAGTTGTCCACATCTGCACAGCACAAAAGGAGAGACTGAAGGCGCCAGAGGCCATCACTGCCTGGATATTCTGTCACCTGGTTATATGATTTCAGGCCAGAAGCTTCACCTTTCCGCCCCTAGAAAGCGGGCAACCAGTCAACCCTGGGGGAAAAGGGTGCAAAAGCCATCTGCCAAGATCAGCATGGCCAGTGCAGCCCTGAGGGCAGAGGGTGCAGCACTAGGGAGCAGAGCCAGCTTCTAACAGCTGCTTTGGCCTGGAGGCAGGTTACACACAGAGAGTTCACAGGAGTTATCTGCTGCCAGTTCAGCCAAACCACCCCAAAATAAACCCTGGGTGACTTTTCAGCATCGCACAAAACCACTGCAGCAGAAGCAAGAACAGAACCTAGATCTCAAGGGCAGCCTTTTTGTTGCCTGAAGCACAAGATTGTCCCTGACCCTGAAGAATCTCCAGCGTCTAACTCAGTCACTCATCACCACCCAACTCTTTTGACTAGTGAGGTGGGACTTATAACGGTCATACACCCACCTCTCTACACAAGCTTAGTTACTCCCCAGAGAAGGTTCACCCTGGGCAACAAGTGAAGTAAAAACATCAGATACACATACAGCACTTGGAATTTGTGGTTGTGTGGCGCTCATAAGGCAGATTAAAGGCAGATTCCTAAAGGCTGCATCCTTTCATCGACTGCGATGATTTTAAATAAAATCATCCTAAAGGTAAAGGTGTCATTTTCTTCAGTAATAACAAACAGCAATTAACAGAAATTTTACCTAAATCACTGAAGCAGCACTAAGCCCTTTGAAGAAAAACAAGTGATCTGTAAAAACAATTAGGATGCAATAACATTAAACATCTCCAAGGATGACAAGCCATTTTATTGTAGGCAAATTAGACACATTAGCCATTAGCGACTCTAATGACCATCTCATTCCTCTTCTGACCACTTCGTAATGTGAACAGTTCAAGATTAAACAGTTTACCACCTGATTGGCTGAATATTATTCAGCATTTGCCAGAGGTGAGATGTTTCCACAGCAGAGTTTGATACCTTCAGTGTCTTTAAACTTCAAGGATGCTAATAGTGATAGACAGCTAGTAGGCTGTGCTCAATAACTCTGAATGCCTAGAATCTGAAGCTTTTAAGGGAAGCTACGTTCAACCAAAGAAAGTATTTGGACCAGGAGCTCTTTTGATAACCTCAGCTATATCTTCCGGCTTTTCAGGATTTGTCCTTTCCTCTAAGAACTCAAGCAACCATTCCACCGCCACCACCCACGGCACTGATGTCAGCAGGACTCAGCATATAAACATCATGCAAGAATTACTCACACAAGTGACATATGCAGAATCAAGCCTGAGAGCATGCTTTAAACATGGATTAATGCCAAAGTCAAAGGCTTACCCTGCCCATTTCGTTACTCTCCTGCGTTGTCCTTACTTACAGCTGCGGTAAGGCAACACATACCACAGGTGAAAGACAGAGCCCCCAAAAGAGCTATTTACACAGTATTTATATTTGAAAATGGACTTGCAGAATTGGTTTTCAAATACATAACCCTCATGGAAATCATCCCACAAGCATCAGTATGGGCACTTGCATAAACAAGAGCTTACATCAGTCAGATCTTTATACAGGGTTCCTGATTAGACAGATGTAAAGAAGGAGCAGCAGTGGAGATGAGGGAGTGTGACTGGTACTCAGCTGCCAGAGCTCAACCCAAATTGCCATAGATGTTTTCTTTGACCTTGGAAAGTTACTCACTAAAATTCTTTGATTCAGCTACAGTTACTTATTAAAATTCTCTTTGATTTAGGTACAGACTGTAATTGGGGAACAGTATTTCCCGTTTTTCAAAAGCATGTTTCGATAAAGTTAATTAGTAGATCACAATAATCTACTTCAGCAATAGGAGTGAAGCCTATATACATTTATAGGAGGAAAAAGATACAACACTATCAGATGTTTACTGTATGTAGCAAGACCCTGGCTTTTTGAATACCTGTACAATACCACAGATACAATATTATACAAAATATTTTGTATAATATTGTAGAATATTTAATATGAACGCTTGCATCACATAGATTTTCTTTAGCACTAGTGAGTACAAATTTATCCTCAAATGCATAAACAAAACTGAATACAAACAAAATTGTTCAATAACCAGCACATGCGGCAGGACAGCTAGGGGAAAATATCAGTTAATGTGGTTCTTCTTAAATAATAATATGATTTTATTAATATAACTTATTATTATGGAAGGCAGTGTCATTTCCAAGTCCAAACACGGGACTTCCATAAAGCTCTATACCTACTCCCCAATTAGAATATAGATTTTTCATTCACAGTAGAAACTGAAACTTGGAGCTTTTACAGAGCTCCTCTATAGAAAGAGCTGTAGCAAAGAGCGTGTCATTCTCTCAGGTAACCTTCTAACAATATAGAGCAATTCACTTGAAATGGATTTCAATCTCTTAAATTTCTACTCATGTTAAGAGAAGCAAATTCATGCAGCAAAAAATATAGTTCTACATCACAATTATTCGAATGTTTTGATATATTCACTACACATCTCTAGTACACGTTTTCCTTTAAAAGCTTCTTTTGTTTCTTGAAGCATGTTGATTTAAAGCTCATTATATTTAGCACTGCACCAGCTCATCAGGAGACATGGACAGGAAACAATAGCTCATTTTTTGGAAGATCTCCTCCTCAATAAGCATCTTTCACATAATCATTATACTTAGGGAGTGGGAAAATATATGGCTAAGTAGAACAGTTGAAGAGTCAAAAAAATTTGCGCTTGTCAGCCACGTGGGGGAAATGACTAAAAACTAATTTTTAAGACTGAAGTTGCAGCACCAGTGACAATCTTCAGAATGACATTTGGTTTACAAATATAAAAGTAATATATTAAAGTCATTCCTACGCCACCTATCTGGGCCTTTTTAAAAAATCTGGATTCACCTACCAAACAAAAAAAAAAAACAACCAACAAACAAACAAAAATCCCAAAAAACTGTGCATCTGTAGCATAACAGAAGTGAGATGAATTAACATCTGAAAATATCAAGCTCGTTTCCTCCAGGAACTTTCTTTTCTATCCAGTATCTTGGACAAGGACCCTACATTATTGTTACCTTATGGTTAACTCTGGGTTAAAGGAGGAACGTCTTCCGGGCCTACCCAAGGAGAGGATATTAACACACACCCACTTATCACCTCTCCTTGCTTATATTCCCTGCAAGCTTCGGGGGGAAAAAAGGAAGAATGTGCTTTTGAAGAACTCCACAGTCTGTGTAAAGTTTCTGTCATCCCAGCAGACAAGATTTACGGTGATCGCGTGCCAGCTCCAGTTCATGACAAATGAAGGTTGAGCTGCATTCAAAAAACATCGAAGGACTTCAAATAAAGCAATATACCGCTCTTTTTCTAAAAAGTCCCTTGGAATTCAGCTATGATTCATTCTGGCATTTCCCTCCTAAAAAGAGGGCCTTTTTCTGCAGGGAGTTTGACGACCTTTTTTCCATTTGCTACTTAGAGGACAGGGGGAAAATCCAGCTTCCCTCCCAGGGAAGGAAGGGACCGCAGCTTCTCTCTCGCAATTGCCTGCATTTTACCGAGGCACGCAAGCAATTTCCGAGGGGATGCAAATCTCCACCGCACACGCTTCCGAGGGTCGCCCTCGCCAACGCTGCCCGC